TTGCAGATATCGAAGATATTGAAGTAATGTATTGACGCGAGCGTGCTAAAATAAACTCACCGTTAACTGTTGGCACACTTGTATGCAAGAAGACTGTTGTAGATGGCACAATTGCACTGCGTAGTGAGTTTGCTGCTCAACATGTCGTTAGATTACGCGAACGTACCTTGCACAACATTGAGTGAGGGTCAATGGACGGCCGCGATATCTGGAAATTGTGCTCAGGAACGCTACATATGAACGTCTCGACAATTATGTTTTTCTCGGCATTGACTGCCGTGTGGATAATTGAATGGCAAGACTTGAGTGACGTATTATGACGTCATGGATGCCTAGGTGACCTCGGAGTAGCTTCCTAAAAAGTCCACGTCTTCGCGGGCGTGTAGCTCAGAAACTAGGGGGGCTTATGTCTTAATAGGGACGGGTCCGTGAACTGCACCAAATGATCTTCAAGATGGCCATGGCAATTCTGGAATGCCCCCTTGAACACTCATCACCGGGCGTGACGATTTCCAATACCGCGCTTCGCTAGGGCAGGGGCGCAGGTAGGGAAGGCGGGGGGGGGGGGGGCACAAGGAGAGGGTCCCGTGGTTTCCTGTCGGGACCCACGGGACCCTTCACGGAAATCGTTTTAAGGGGCCCAGCCAGCAAGGCACGACACTCGTTTACCAGTCAAAGGGTATTTTGTGCCGATCGGGAGTCCCCTGAGTCGATGAGGACCTCCATACCAGTCAGGCACCAGCACTATCGAACAGTCGGCTCCATGAGGCCCCAGTCCGGAACGGGGGCCCCTCGACCCCATTTCGGCCAGAGGCCCGTTAAACTGAAGCTGAGAGGCTGAGAAGCTGAGTACCGATAAGCGGAGTCCTTTCTTTGCCCATTGTGCAAGGGCGTGGGCAGGGGACACAGGGGTACGCCCGCGCCCCTTAGGTTCCGAGGGACCCAAAGGGCCCCTCGGGACCGACGATCGGGGGCCCGTTGGGAGGGTACGAGGGTCTGGTCGTGTATCACATCAAGGACCCTGGCCCGTAGGACTGAGCCCTCAGATGTCAGTTAGAAGGCCTGTTGTACCGATTGCGGGCTACCTGGAGTAGTGCTGGCCTTATTTCGGGCAGGGACCAACACCGAACAGTCGGCTCCGTGCCGGTCTGAGCCCTGGGGACCCATTGCCCTAGCAGGGACAAAACTGGAGCCCGTGATTTGCATTGGTCGGAACCCCTGAAGCAATTAGGTGGCCCCGTGTCGGTCAAGGGCCTCCAGTACCTCATGAGTTTGTCCCGTGTCGGTAAGGGGCCTCGAGTCAGCCAGGGGAACATTTATTGAACAAGGAGAGTAACGAGGGACCAAAATGCCAGAGGGCCTCGCGTTGGTCAGGGCCCTCCGTCAATAAAGAGAAATTAGACTTCATGATGGGGGTCCACAATGAGACAATGAAAGGGTCCTGTGTTAGTCAGGGGCCCAGCACCGAACGCGGGCCCGCTATACCGTTTCAGCCAGGGGCCAAGTAAGCCGAACTGGAGTCGCTACCAATCATTGACCCCCTACGGCAGTAAGGAATCTTTGTTCGGCCATTGGGGCCGCTGTGTCAATCCGCTGCCAACTGGCCGGGTCAGAGGGCTTCCGTGACGGGGTCATCTGCGTTGAGCCATCGATTGGAGCAAGATGATCGATGCCCGGGGTTGCAGTCTTCGTTGACCTTCGTTGTCCTTCGTTGACCTTCGTTGACCTTCGTTGACCTTCGCAGTCTTCGTTGACGTTGGCTGCAGTAGCCAACACCAGACGGCGGGCGCCGGGTGCGCGAGAGCGGCCATGCGTCGTAAAATAATGTTTTCGGAAGCCCTTCACAATGAATTTGTAACTTTTGAGACTAAGTGTTTGGCTAAACTTCACCTCTGAAATTTTGGGGGTGTCTTCTGAACAGTTTAACGGTTACAACAATGCCAAAACAATAGAGATCCATCGTTATCTTCAGATTTCGCGGTACTTACTGTAAATGCTGATCCGGTCAATTACCAATCCCAAAATCGCGCAGGTGATGCGTACGTCCCAGACTAGTTTAAAACGTACAAAATGATGCATAACGCGTTCATTTGTGCTTCTTCCAGGTACCTGATCATTTTCACCCACCCGTTGGCTGTTAGTGTAAGCTGTGGGGCGTACGCTGCACGGTCCGTGGAGACTGCAACGACCCGTTCCACGGCTTTTGTGTCAATAGTTTACGAGCGCGTTTGTTCAGAACTGTTACGTAATTTTTCGCTACTCTGTTCTGAATGGAGAATGAGCGTCTCAAGCGGAACATGATTGCCTATGACAATACAAGTATTTGACATAATTTTATCTGCAATATACGTCCATTCAGAGTGTCCTCAACATCACTGTATGACTCCGAAACTTCCTCCGAAACCTTTTGGTGCTCTCTGTTGAGAAGAGTTCACTGAACAATTGCAAGATGAAAAGCACCGTTCCTTTATTCGATGCGGTTATTTGACGTCTGGCTTCTCCAGTATATTGACAAAAGCAAGCAGTGGTAAATCTTCCGGTGACGTCTGATTTGTGCTTCAGCTAAGAAGGTAACACAAAAAAATTAAGAAAATCATGTTTCTTTGAAATCAAGAGAGCCAATTCCAGTATTTTTGGGGAAGGGGCAGGAAGGTGCGCTCCCCAGCAGGGGACACTCCCTGTCAACTCTGTCCCCTTCCCCTTTGCCAAGACTTACTGCGCCCCTGCATCGGAGCGCGTCGCATTCAACCGGCCGCCCGGAGGCAGGGTAAAGTGAGCTCCCCGCCAAGAACGCCATGGCGGTACCACATCATCAAAACCCATCCCAAAAATAGCGCCATAGAAAACTCATCACTCATCCCATAGCAAACTGGAGCGATTGAAGACTCAGCACGACAGCCTTCCTCTTGAGTGCCATAATAACTGTGTAATAATAACTGTGCCTGCAATAACTTTGTACAATATACGTATCTCCACGTAAACGCGTGCTGAAGTTAGTAGTTGCTTTCACAAAATTGAATATACAAGCCCGCAGGCTCTCAGGACAGACGCTTACTAGGAGGACGCTACGTGCAACGCACGTGCTCCGAAATAGAATGAATGTCGGTCCGTCCAAAACCTAAGTGATGCGAGAATGCTCTCGGGCCCTGGTTTGTCTGCAGTGTGGGTTCGACAAATCGGTCATGAGCCGGTTTGAACACTCCCATTGTCGTGCCAGCCGTACAAGTGCATTCGTGAGTGAACGCGCCAGGGTGTAGTTCTATCGACCTGTAGGTATGCCACCAGCACCCCTGGCAAACACCACCGTTATCTAACTTATCTTACACCAAATCCTAAATAGCTCATGTATGAATACACGCTCAATCTTCTGTCAGCCTCTATGAAGAAATAAAGTTTTGGTGGTAGGAAGTACGCCACAAAACCCTGGCCCGATACGTGCTTGTACTCGATCTGTGGTCGTTCACCATCCAGATATCATATATGGAAGACTTAGGGCTTAACTTAACGCATCTTCGTACACAAAACGCAAGGTACCTGTGTTATTTCCTTATCGAAGAATAATTTGCAGGCATGCACGACTTACCCTTTTGACTTCAATCACGATGTGGTGGTGAGGTGGCTAGGAGTTCCACCCCTCATGGCTAGGGGTAGAATCATGGACTCGCGCTTGGACTCGCACGGTGTGTCCTGGAATCGGGTCCCTGGACTCCTCATGGCTAGGGGTAGCATCATGGACTCCAGCGCAGTTTCGTACAGTGTGTCCTGGAGTCGGATCCCGGACGTGCCACGGCCCGTGCCGTCACTGCGACTGCCATGGTAGGTAATGTCCAGGAAAGGGCTCGTGACCACGTATTCTCTGTCAACTCTTTTAATTAAGAAATCGTGGATAAGACAAAAGTGTTAGCCCTATTCCTTGGAGAATAGAGATATAAGAATAAGGCTTCTGTCTTATCTGTGTGAATAATGTTTCTCGCTAATGCACTGAACAACTTACGTAATTTGAGAAAAAATCTGACTTTTTCATAGGTGTTTTAAAACATTTGTAGCACATGGTGGTGGTGCGCCAGGCGCGGAGCGGATTATGAGCCTCATCACAGCGCTAACTTGTAATAAATATTTTACGGCCGTTTCACGCCTATAACGTGGCAATAACAGCTGCTGCAAAATGAAAATGATGACGTGACGCCGTCAAATTATGCAAATTGGTTGCGGCTGAGGGTGATCTGCTGTTGGCACGTCTCCCGTTATCGTAGATGTCTGATCTGAACACGTCCTTGCCTTGGACACATACCGAGTGCATGTAACTGGAGTGTTGCAGCAGCTAGTTCAGTGCCGTCGGCCGATCAAGGCAAGGTCAATGCCGCGATAAGCATCATTCCCTCAGGTCAACGAGGAACGCCGCCGTCATTCGCGGCGGCCAGGCGGCGGCGGCGCGCAGGATGATTGATCCTGCCGCCCGACCACCGCCGTCCCCTGCAGAGTCGCGCCGGGCATTGTGAGACGGCGCTGTCGCCACAATGGCGTCTCGTCCGGCCTCGGCCAGGACGACTCGCCGTGCCGCGCTCAGTTGTGCAAAGCCCGAGACGGGGTGCGTGCCGCCGCAGTCATTACCAAGCCGTGTTGTCGGCGGAATATGCATGGTTGTCCCATTCAGAGGAGCTGGCGTGTATAGTGGCTAAGGTCTCACTTTCCTTTTCCGTTTCGCACGGCTTGAGCCGCATCGGAGGGGTGGAGCGAGGCCGCACTTTGCGCCACCCGCGCCACATTGTTCTGCGGCCGCTGCGACACCCGGGGTTTCGGCATTCGGGACGAGGCGGTTTTGTAATGGTCCCTGTTCGCATTGAAAGAAAAAGTGTCGTCCGCCCGCGTCTCGTCGAGAGGAAAGTCGACCAGCGGCCGGCGCCGGCTCGGTGCCACACTCGCGCCCCGGTCGTCGCTCGGAGGGGACCAGCGCGGCCCGTGTGACGACGGCCGCTCGGTGTGTCCGCTGTGGTGCCGGTATGAAGTGGTCGGTCGTGCTGCTGGCCCTCGGGCTGGCCTCGCTGGCAGACGCCTTCTTCTTTCCGTTCTTCAACAAGGGCAAAGGAGGAGGACAGTCGCACAAGCACGGCTATCCGGGGGCTAGTAAAGTGCCGACGCACTATGGTGGCTCGGGGAAGGGCAAGGGCGGCCACGGCAGCGGCAAGGGCGGCCACGGCGGCGGCAAGGGCGGCCACGGCGGCGGCAAGGGCCGTCCGTCCGGCAGCTACGGCCCACCAGTGCGGCCGTCGGGGACGTACGGACCGGTGACGCGGCCGCTGACCACCTACGGACCGCCCAACATCCGGCCTCCGTCCGGCTCCTACGGCCCACCCACCGGCGGCGGAGGAGGTGGAGGTGGAGGATATCCCGGCGGCGGCGGAGGAGGACACGGCGGTGGCGGAGGTGGAGGATATCCCGGCGGCGGCGGAGGAGGACACGGCGGCGGCGGAGGTGGAGGATATCCCGGTGGCGGTGGTGGAGGACACGGCGGCGGCGGAGGAGGAGGATATCCCGGCGGCAGCGGAGGAGGACACGGCGGCGGAGGAGGAGGACACGGCGGCGGCAGGTGGAGGAGGATATCCCGGTGGCGGTGGAGGAGGACACGGCGGCAGCGGAGGAGGAGGATATCCCGGTGGCGGTGGAGGAGGACACGGCGGCAGCGGAGGAGGAGGATATCCCGGCGGTACTGGAGGTCACGGCGGTGGAGGGGGTGGCTACCCAGGGGGTACTGGAGGGCACGGCGGCGGCGGCAGCAGCGGAGGAGGAGGAGGAGGGTATCCTGGTGGCACCGGAGGACATGGTGGCGGAGGAAAGGGGCCTGGAGGTCAAGGAGGGGGAGGAGGAGGATATCCTGGTGGCGCTGGAGGACAGGGCGGTGGAGGAACAGGAACCGGAGGTCTCGGCAGTGGAGGAGGAGGAGGAGGATATCCCGGTGGAACGGGAAGCACTGGAGGAGGCGCGGGCGCTGGTACCGGTGTGTATCCCGGGGGAGGCGGAGGGCAGATCGGCCTCGGCGCCAAAGGAAGCCTCAACCACCACACCCATTTCCACTCGCACTATCACTCGACAACGGTGGGCGTGGGCGTGGGACCGGCGGCGACGCTGACGGCCGGGCCGGTCCAGGCCTCCTTCACCTCGGGCGTGTTCCCGGCGACGCTGACCGGCGGCGCGCCGCTGCCGTCGTACACGCGGACCTTGGTCAGCAGCCTGGCGCCGGGGCCGCGCCGGCCGGTGCCCACGTCCGTGCTGCGGCCGGCCATCGTCGCCAGCAGCGCCCCGCCGCCGGTCTCGTACCTGCCGCCCGAGCAGGGCCGCTACGGCCAGGGCCAGGCCTCCGACAAGGTGCCCACCTACGTGCAGCCGGCGAGTGGGGCGCGGCTGCTGCCGGCCGCACCGGTCGCGTCGCCGGCCGAGGACGCCTCGCTGAACGGCGTCAACACTGACCTGTTCACCGCCCAGCTGGATGAGTCGAACGTGGTGGTGGTGGCGCCGGCGCGGCTGGACGGCCGACCGCGGCTGGCTGGACCCGGGGTACTGCAACAGGGGCCGCAGGTGGCGCTGCAGGCGGCCGCCAGCGGGCCGGAGCCGGTGGCGGGCAGCAGCCGGGTCAAGTCGACCACCTCGCTGCCTGAGCGACTGCGCCAGCTCGGCCTGCTGCGCTTCATGGCGCTGGTGGAGCGCGCCGGCCTGGAGAAGCTGCTGCTCTCGCGAGGTGAGTGGCAAACACCTCCCTGCCCCCGCCCCTCCCCCCCCCTCTCACCGGTCTGGTTGTCATTTCCTGCATGTGTGCGTCCTCCAATTGTATGCATGCGTCCTCCAGCGAACCATGCTCAGTCGTTCGTCTCAACCCAGCGTGGCTGGTCTCCGTTCACAGATGGTTCCGTGTCTTATTGCAGCTCTGGATCATAGCAAACAGGTCAGATCCCTGCGTCTCGTCGCCCAGGTTTTCTGTCACATTGTTGGCCCTTAGACCACACGCCCGTTACCTTGTCGACCAATGTTCCGTGGTTCAGTCTTGCATTGACAAGGCACAGCACCTTGTGTTTCTTGGTTGGGACCAGTTATGTCATCGGTATTCGTCATAACAGCGCTGCTCTCATGTCGTCATCGTAAGTCAGCTGATAGAGCGGCGAAAATATGGCCACCGTCGGGCGGATATGTTGGCAGTTGTTTGGCTCAAAGGAGGTGGGGAAAGTGCCCATCAGGCTGGAGTAACCCTTCTGGGTGGTGATGAGTGTTTTTCCAGCAAGTTTTTTCAGCAGCCTACGACCCAAAAATCCATCCTTACAATTTTTAATTCACCGTCTATTCGCCCCAAAACTATTGATGGATAACGTCCGGACAAAGTGTTTAAATGACGAGACAAGGCTGTAGTGCATCCGTTTTTTCATCATTCGAGTCAGCGTCATAGTGCCACAAGCACTATGGTGACTGAAGCGCCCGCTGCAGCCTCAGTCGCCCACGCGCTGCAGCACGGCCACATGTTCAAGCCGGTCCAGAACAGGGCAGACGCTCTCTCAAACACTTGTCAAGACGATGGAGAATTCATTTGGAGTCTATTTTGATTCCACCAAGCCTGCATGAAAACCTTCGAAATGAACTGACAAAATTTGTTGTCCATACCTTAGCGCATGGATCTAGGGCGAGCAAATCAGGGCGGTGTGCTTCTCATACGCCAGATACAGTTTCTGATATGCTCATCACCCAAGCCATACTTGTGATCGTTTTTTACAGCTTAAGTCCATATAACGTGGCAAAGCTTAAGTATATCGAGCACAATGAATGTCGCATGTTACGCGCTAGTTATGATATATATATATATATATATATATATATATATATATATATATATATATATATATATAGCAACATATCCAGCAACGTTCGGTAAACGTGAGGGCGGCTGCGTGCTGGCAGCGTGGCTTGAGATGACTGCTCGTCCTATCGCCCCTTTAATAGCGCACTGCTGACTGTTTATTGCCCTTTGGTGTTGTGTGTTATGTGTGTTCGACGCAGAGTTGGATCGGATTTATGGCAGTAATGCTGTAAGGATGGGTCATATGGCTAAGGCTAGGGGCCTACACGGCTAAGCTTTGTTGTGCCCAATCCACCCGCTACCCATGGGGTTGTGCCCATATCCATCCGCTACCCATGGGATTATATCCATGTCCACCCGCTACCCATGGGGCTGTGCCCATATCCACCCGCTACGCACTCGTTATGATTTGTACCCACTCGTTATCTATCTCTGCGTTTTTCAGCACTTTTGCTCTGAATTATTAGTTCATAATGATACTTAAATGCTAAATCATTCTCAGCGCTTTGGTATAAGTGTGTTTCTGGATGGCTTACGCTCAAACCTCCTCTTTTGGGTTGAAATTAGCAAAAGGAAGGTGAATAGAGCTAATTATGACTAAAATAAGCTCAAGAAGTAAAGTCATATAGCATGTCCTGAAGCATCCACTCGAGGGGCGAATAGCCGGGGGGTTAACGCCTTCGGTTCCCGCTTGGTGTCCGGGTTCGAATCCCGGTCGCACCATGCACTTGGGTTCTAATGTGGATTCTGTAGGCGGTGGTGCTCTGCAAAAGGGCACGCGACGACGTGCATCGCGCTTCTTTTGTTAAGAAGCATCCACCCGGCATTTTGTAAACGACCCATAGCCGTAATTTTCTTAAATCTGGACCCCACTCAACCGTTACCCATTTCACGTGGGTACGCACGGGCTTACCCAACCGTTGAAGCCCTCTAGCTGTGATCACAGAGGAGAGTAGGAAAGGTGCTCTCTTCGTGGCATTGTCCTGGACGACTCGCATCTTGCCAGCTCGGCGATTGCTAAATTCACGGTGAATGTGTTTCGTTGGCCTGCTGGCTGCTGAAAGAAGGGACATGTGGGCTCTAAATTGTGCTTTAATGATCATCGGACGCCGCTTTGATCCAGCGCGACATTAACGGCACTTCGCATCGGAGGGTGGGCCTAACCCAGAGCCGTCCAGCTGACGGGCTGCGTTACGCCACCCCCCGCCGGCTGCGCCTGTGAGATGCGCGTGCGCGGCGCAGAGGACCCGTGCCTGTGCCGTGGGAGCGACGCCGGCGGCTCCCTCGCCCGCAGCTGCCGCCGGCCAGCAGTGCCGTGTCGCCACCCTAGCCGGCCATCTGACGGCGGGCGGTGCGCCACCTGGCCCGACGCGCACCTTTCGCCGCGCGTGGGGCCTGGCGGTCCCGGCAGCCGGCCGGCGGCACGGCGACTGTCGCTGACGCGTCGGCCCGCTGTCGCTGCCGCCGCTGCACTGGGCCGGCCTCGGCAGCGGCCTTGTGCTCGTCTTTTCGGCAGATGGTCGCAGCTGATGTCTGCTATTATGTAACTGTGTTATTGTTGCATGCGGTGCTTGTGTTTGGCAGCGTGAAAGGCTCGCCCGCAAAGCAGGTCATCTTAGAATCTGTTGGCGCAATTTAACTCTCTCCAGACAAGGTGCTGGTGCGCTGCATCCGTCCGGTTTTTTGAATGTCCGAAGTGAGCCATTCGGCAGATCTTTATGCAACTTTCGCTGGCTGGGTTTGAAGATCTTTGACCCTGATCGGAGGGCTTGAATCTTTACCATATCAGATCATTGCGCGGTCAGCTAACTCCCAGAGGTCTGCACGCCAGAAATCTCGAGAAATTAGCGCTTTGCGCCGCACTTTTGGCAATTTCGTATGCAATGGCGTAGCCAGGATTTCGCACGGGAGGGTGCCGAAAAACAGGGGACATTTTCATTGAAGGCGGCTACTTCGTTGCTATATGGGGCTTTTGGATTCAGGTGGACTGTAAGGACTCATGGTCCCATTTGATGTCCCAAGGGCCGTTTTTTATATTTCAGAAGCCTTACAAGCGTCTCGAACTGTCCAAAAGTCCTGGGGCCTTGGATATTAGGGGACCCCGTCACCTCCCCGGGGGACGGGTTTGGGACACGGTCACAAAAGCCCATTCCTCTGCTAGATCACTGTCTAATCTGCACGAGATGACAATGTCCTAGGTTTCGAAGATGTGAGACGGTAACATTATCAGCGTAGTCAATGCAGTGGTTTTTGAAAGGATCTTTCAATGTCTAGGTCATGTGATATGGAATGCTAATGTTTATAGTCAAAGTACCCCACGAGGATCACTGCCACTCCATCATGAACTGAACTGACTAACACGTGGCAATGGTGACGTGAAAGTTATGGGACGCGAAAGGTCGAGACAGGGATTACTCGTCTTCTAAGTGTTTTAACTTACGGGTCACCAATATCATCATGCTAAACGCAAGAACTACGTTTAGCAATGACTAACCTCAAAACTCTGGATGTCTTAACTCGTGTCATGACACACACGTGAAATTTTTATGAAAATTATCTACTAAAAGCTAGTGATGCTGGTTTTAAGTCAACGAGGTCGGTGGAGTCAATGCTGCTGCATGGCCTGAGCGGCTTTACTGGCCGTCTTATGATAAGCGCCGGAGCCAGGGCTGTGCATGACGCATCTCGCGCGCCGGAGATGGAGCTCAATAAGTGCTGGAGATGGGGCTCCATAAATGCCGGAGATGGGGCTCCATAGGTGCCGGAGATGGGACTCCATAAGTGCCGGGGGTGGGTTCCATGAGTGCCAGAGATGGGCTCCATAAGTGCCAGAGATTGGGTTCCATAAGTGCCGGAGGTGGGGTTCCATGAGTGCCAAAGATGGGCTCCATAGGTGCCGGAGATGGGACTCCATAAGTTCCGGAGATAGGACTCCATAAGTGTTGGAGGCGGGGTTCCATCAGTGCCAGAGATGGGGCTCCATAGGTGCCGGAGATAGGGCTCCGTCAGTGCCGGAGATAATACTACATAAGGGCACTTGCAATGAAGTCAGATTGCCGGACCGCTACAAAGCATACATTCAGAAGCAGCGGAAACCCTTAAGTTGGTAGTCAATAGGGATTGTTTTGTTTTCTTTCCAGCCAACGCAACTGGGGTCGATGCTAAACTTTTCGGACCTAGTCTCTCTGATCTCATCGGTTCCCGTGCCTCCCCATACACAACTTTTTGCACATCTGCGCAAACGTCTGAACAAATAACACGCCTTTTGCCAACAATCGTTTGAAAACCGAGTGCTGTTCCTTCACGCCGACGCATTCTTTGCGCGCTTTCCAAGTTCCAAACTGTAACCATCCCAGTCTGCTTTCGGCTAGGAAATGGTCAGGCACACATAAGGCACTCCAACGGAAAATTAGGCGCAGCTGTCCGTGAAGTGCACCGAATGAGAGACACACCCACCTTTAGTGCATTCACATCGGCTGTTGTGAGCATTGCTACCACTACCTTCCTTCGCCGCTACCACTGCCTTCCAGTGACGAGCAACGTGGATGGAAGTTCGAGCAAAGATGCCAGGGAGATACTGAAGATAACTAAAAACCTCAGCGCACTTAAAGTGACACACAGAGCATGGAAGGCTTGAGGCTGCTCTCGCTGTTTATGCTTGCATCATTATGGGCGTGTGCGCCACGGAACTGTGGTTTTTCCGGCCGCGTTTTTTTCCGCTAGACTGTCTGCTCGCTGAGGGTCGGCCAAAGGACCTTCGCTTTCTGGCCGCCGGTATTTTCTGCTCAGCCCATATTTCCCCACGTTTCTACGAGACGGCGTCGTCTTGTCTCCACATGTTTCAATATCTTTAATCGTCTCTGAGTCTCTCAATTTCGTTGTAGTCTTGGCTATCTGCCTCGTGGTCTACCTGTTCTGCGGTATAATTCGTGCGCTGCTCCTTATTAACACCGCAGCTTGCTTTCTCCTAAAGGGTTGGGACTACGGCTAAGATGTCGCTGAATTATTACAATGTGGAGCAAAAACTGCTGTGATGAGGAAGGATGCACACATTAATTTGATTGTGCGGGATTGTCTCATAGGAAGTATACTCAATATAATTTTTCGGTGGAACTGTTCCCTTAAATCGTTTCGACCTAGTGTGGTGACGTGGCTCTGTGACGCTCAGAAGCCGCGACGCGGCGACATCTCTGACCAGCGACTGCGTCATTTGCGCGCCGACAGGAGGGTTCACCGTGTTCGCCTTCACGGACGAGGCCTGGGCCATGCTGCCATACAACCTGCGCGCTCAGCTGACGGCCGACCCGGAGCGGCTGCGCCGGCTGCTGCTGCACCACATCACGCCCGTGGCGCTCAAGCTGGCCAGCTTCAACGACAACATGGTGGTGAAGAGCGCCAGTCCCAGCGGCGCCACGCTGCGCATCAACATCTACCAGATGAGCCGCTACAGCAAGGTGAGCCCGGCCAAGCGCCGAGGCCGTCGCTGCCGGGCGGTGCGGGCGGCGCGGCTTGCCGAACGCGCCGACCCGAGAGGCGCGTCCGGAAGCAAACTGTCTCACTTCGCGTCCGCACAAATGTTGCTGTTCCAGAGGAGTGTAAATATTCTGTGAGACAGCGGCGTGACGTTTCCTGCATGCAGCTTCGAATCCGTTAAACCCTGTTTCCTTTTCGGCAGTGGCGACCGAGATTTGCGCCGGATAGTTCGACACACATACCATCCGCTGTCCAGTCGCGCTCATCGGGCTCATAATGCCCGTTGTAAGCTCTCATTCCTGGCATTCACGTCAGTTCGCATAAGCTCGCAACTGCGCTCGCGGACCACGCACTGCTACGGGGCCTGCTGCCAAACCCTCGTCACCCGCCCGTCGTTACCAGAACACGAACGATATGTGACGGAGTTGGCGTCTCGTTGCAGCGCGTGGTGACCGTGAACGGGGCGCAGGTGCTGCGCAGCGACGCCAGCGCCTCCAGCGGCGTGGTGCACGTAATCGACAGGGCACTGGTGGCCGAAGCCAGCGTGAATGCGCTGGAGTACGTCACGACGCGGGAGTGCGCCGACCTCGACTTCGGCGGTGAGCTGCCGTGGCGACCAACCGGCCGACTGTGGTCGCAACTGATAGGACAACCGCGCGGATAGAATTGCAGACACGGAAACAGTTGTTAGCGTTCGAGTGCAGCACGCGGTGTGAGCTGGTGGCTTTCAGCGCGCTGCGGCGGCTTGTCGGTGCTGACAGTCGCTGTGCGGTCGCTGCAGGCATCGCCAGCATAGTGGCGAGGCTGGGGGTGACTGAGCTGCTGAGCCAGGAGGCGCCGCTGACGCTGTTCCTGCCCATCTCGGCGGCCTTCAGCGACACGGAGAATGTGTCCGAGGACTTCAGCAACAGCTCCATCGTCATGCAGAGTATGTGTGCTGAGCCGCTGTCAGCGGCGGACGGGGTGCGCCGGCCGCGTACTGTGGGCTGCCGTCGCCGCCGCTCCTCGCCTGCTCTTGGTGCCCGGCGGAAGCCGGTGCCCGCAGCATCCCGGGTCGCTGTGCGGCGGCAGGACTCTCACTCGCGATATCGCTGTACACTGTAACCGACGATCAGGCTGTGATTGGGGTCACACTGTGTGACGTGTGTCCGAACCAGTTATATATCCAGTTATAGTTATATCCAGACCAGTTATAATCATATCGTTAAACATTGTTTAGATAGCTTGGGATGTCGTATTACTTGCAAAGGTTAGGTGCTACACCTGCACATACCTGTCGACTACATTCATGCAGCGGCGTACGCAGCATACATACGTGCAGATCGGCATACCGCGCCGACGGGCTGCGGCATACGGTATCCGACAAGGACGGTGACGTGCCTCTGGCGTGCAGCACTAGAGGCCACTGCGGCGGAGGCAGTGGCCGTTACTGGGACGGTCACGGAGGCCGTGACGGCAGGCGGGCCGTAACGACAGACGGGGCGTGACGGCGACGCCAGCTGTCTGTCGGTAGTCGGCGTCGCGATGCCGGCAGCGGCCGCTCCTCGTTGACCGGCGCTGTGCTGCCGCGTTCGCAGACTCTCTGCTGTACCACCTGGTGCCGGGCGCGTTCTACAGCGCCGGCGTGCGCGACGGCCAGTGGCTGGAGACGCTGCTCGACGGGCAGGAGCTGCAGCTGCAGGTCGTCACCGACGGCTACACGCGTGAGTAGACGCCGCCGGGCGAGCGGCGGTCGCCTCTGTCGCTCGCCTGCTGTAGCAGACGCGCCGGTGTTGTGTGTGTTAGAAGAGTGGCGCCTGACCGCGGCTCTGTCGGTGACCGCAACGGGGCCCGCCTGCTGTAGCAGACGCGCCGATGTCGTGTGTGTTAGAGGAGTGGCCCCTGAACGAGGCTTTGTCGGTGATCGCAGCGGAGCCCGCCTGTCCCGCTCAGCCGCCGCCACCCGCTGGCCGGTGCCCGCCCGCCGCCCGCCGGGCCGGGCCGCCGGCCGTCCAGCGGACGCCGCTGACGCCAGCGCCGTCGTTCCAGGCCGCATCTCCACCGTCAGCAAGCAGGCGCAGGTGATTCGCGCCGACATCCCCGTCGCCAACGGCGTGGTCCACATCATCGACTTCGTGCTGCGGCCGGAGCGTAACCTGCAGCGGTGCGACGCGCGCTGAGGGGAGGAGTGCCCGGCCCGACCAGCGGGGTCCAGCTGCCGACCCTCCTCCTGGAACACCTCCACAACCTCGCCTACGCGGACGGAGCTGGCACGGACCGGCAAGAGTTCAGGAGAATATGGACGCCTGTTAGGGCTATAGGTGTTGTTACTACGTGGGATTATAATCTCGTTTTATCGTTGAGTTATGTTGCTAAGAGTTGTTGGCTGACAAGGTAATGCGAAACTGTTTTGAGTGACTGTGATCTGCTCTTCGCTACTCGTGCTGTCTTTTTCATGCAGTCGTTCTAAAAATCTTGTTTTCTAAAACGCACGGCTAAGGTATGGGGAACAGTTCTTTTTAAGAGGCTCATTCTATTTAGATATAGACGTTCGGGCCATATTTTGCCCGGTTTTCGTCAAAGCCTAACAATGACCGTGCGGCAATGCATGAAAAAACCGACTTGGAATTTGAATATCTCCTCTTGCCCCTTTTGAAAGTTCCTACCTTCTTGCATTTAGAGGCACTGTGTGTTTTATTAAAATCACCGTCTCATATGAAGCCATGATCCGAGCGTTACTAGCTTGTGCATGGCATTCTGGTCTTCTTTAGGAACAGGGTGGCGGTCTTACTGAACACCGTAAACACCAAACCACCCACAGGCTTGGTACGATCCTGACACAATGTCTAGTCACGCTGGGGGTTGAGGGTGCAATTTGACTTTCCAGGTATTTTTCGGGACGTGTGAAGGACGGTCGGCGATCCATGTGGCAACTATGTGGCATCTCACCGTATCTGAAAACAGCTAACAGTTTGCTATGTCGGAGTGGAGCAGATCAACCTTTTCACCAATTATCCTTAAGAGTATAAGGTCTTAAGGGTCTTAAGGGCCAAGAACTGTGCTAGAATTTTAATTTGGCTGAAACGAGCAAAATATACAAATGCAATATCAGCTATCAGCCCCGCGAAATCCCTAATACTTGACTTATCACTATACCACCTTTCCGATTTTCATACCGATTTTCCCGCCTTGTCTTTGCCTGTGGTGCCAGTGCACAAAATGCCGCTTTAGTGAAAGTAAGACCGGGCGAAAATCGCGTTCCCGTGGGCCCGTGTGATGTTCTAATTTCTCCAAAATGATCACTGTGTAACGGAAGAGTCTCTTCGCGAAGGAGGGGTACTGTATGGATAGCGGAAGTAGTCCCGCAGCTTTCCTCACGTGTAACTCAAAGTCGATTGTCGTGGTAGACGCGGCTTCTTGAGGCAACGCCTCGGATGTTCCTGCTGGGAATGCCCTCTGGATGACACACATGGTCAATCACAGCTGTCACACGTGCAGTCGCGCCTTAAAGGCTACTTGATACTGTCATTTTAAGTATCGGTTTGCTTAAAATAAGTTCAATTATTGAAGCGCATGGCCCGCATGCTCACTTATGCAGGCTTCCAGGCCCATCGTCCGCGGAAATGACAGGCCCTCCTGGCCCGGGTGGGACGCCCCACCCACCCGGCCTGCCCCCTGTTTCGAAAGTGTACACCTACAAGCACAACACGGTTTAAACTTGACTTCCGTGCCAATCCCGCTTTATTTAACGCGACCCCAATGCAAATAAACAAAAAGAAACAATAGGGTCATGAATCCAGCAATCCCTCCGTCAAAAAGCTTTGGTGAAACATGAGCGGTCTACACGCTGGGCTGGTTACGCCACCTTATCTTGATCTAGGGATCTTCATGGCCAGAATTTTCGTTACACGATCTTCCCACTCGTAGGCTCTGCTAGCGGCTCCTAACCAGACCTACCTGACTGTTCACCGTGTTACAGGACTCCCTTTAATGACCGTAAAAGTTGTTCAGAATTACCTTTCACCTGAACATTTTTCGACAGCGGGATAATTATATTATCGCTGCCAATCGTGAAAAAGTGCAGCCAGCATCACTTGCTGCGTCTTGCATCATGTACACGACATCTCTGGAGGTCCTGCGTCGATACTGAGCTCTCTCCAGAGCTCTCTCTCTCTAGCGGTGCCTATCGCACCCAGGGACCGGCGGCTTTGTCCGCTCCACGTCTGCTCCAATCCGATGGATCCATGACGTCATTGTTAATGCAGCATTGTCCGCTCCACGTCTGCTCCAATCCAATGGATTCGTCACGTCATCGTTGATGCAGCATTGTCCAGCTCCACGTCCACTCCTATCCAATGGGTCCATGACGTCATTGTTGATGCAGTATTGGACAAATAGGCAACGGCAACGGCGTCTGTGCACTTTGCTACCTACCTCAATCCAGCTATCTGCGTCGATCCAGGGTGAATGCTGACTAATTAAAAATATTATTTAGCCTGGTAACTATGGGCTACCAACGAATGGGGCAGCACCAGTGCCGGGCTTTGATATAAGGATGGCTGTCACGCCCAGCGCATACTGTTGGTCGCATGGGCTCTTTACTCACACATGTGCAAACGACAGCGATCAGAGCAGTCGGACGATATATCAAATACATGGATGATAATCACAGGCGTGTTTTATTTACCCCAGCGCGTACGGCGTGCCATCACTGCGGTGGGAATGCTGCTTGTCAAACTCAGCTTCTGTAACGACATCGGCAGTTGGCCTCTAACCTGTTTTCGCCAGCTAATCGTTCCGTCATGAGGTTCGCCATTAATGGCCTGAGCGCTCGATGCCTTTTTGTCTTGGTCAGATGGAATTAATCCCACGCGACAAAATGTGCACTAAAAGAACTTATACTCGTCATCATGCCTGCTGTCAAAACCTGTGTAGTCTACCTAGACGCGATATTGCTTCTAATGTCCAATATTTGCTAAGCTACATTTGTGCTCTACCATACTGGCTCACTTAACAATTGTACCATTCAGCGCTACTCGTAGGTTTAACCTCACTTAAAACAAGAGGAAGCGAACACATGCAATCACTTCGACGGTCGAAATCAGACTGGAAGTTCCCAGCTCCGTGGTTTCCACACATAATTACTGCTGCAAAGTAATGCGATCGGCAAAGTCCACGACGGCAGATAGTTTCACGTGGTATTTTTTTTTTGCTGCTGTGAAAACGCCTTAGTTCAGTGTCGTAGAGTTGCAAAACAAGTTTTGAGGGGCAAGCAAGGAAAACGGCCGTACCTGACTCAAACGCATACAGCACTTTCAAAAAAGTTATCAAGATACCTTCCCCGAATATGACACATTCTGAAAGATGAGGGTCAGGTGGAGTCCGACTGAATATAAAACTATCGCCCTACCCTGGTGTTCACCAAAACGCGACATTGTTTGTTCTGCAGTGACTTATATACGGCTAAGTGCGCTGCACGAAAATACTCATCTTTCAAAAACATATACCCACCATTGAGATTCTGCCACCTGATCATGAAACCCTAGACGGTCGTTGAACGCAAAGTAGCCGAAAATTGACCGGGAAGGTGTGACGTCACGGGCTGACTAAGTCACAGCGTAGCCAGCGTCAGAGAGTGAGAATAGGCGCTGACGCGCTCCCGGTGTACCTGCAGTGAGGGAATGTTCCGCGACATTTTTTATGTGTTCTGCTATACGTTATAATATAAACGTCATGTCGGGTAACCGAATCAAGTCAGGTCGAGGTCATAATAGGTCAATGGGATTCGATTTACAAGGATGACAAGCCAAACCATGCAAAACATCCAAAATGCAACATCATACAAGTTTCCCTTGTAGGTCCCTGTAGCACCCACCCATCCTGGGAGTTTTGTTCCTCTACCGGCGTGTCCGAATTTGGGTTGGGGGCAGAGACTTAACGGAGGGCCGCCGAAACGATGGGTTCCTTTCATTTCAGTACAGGCGCGCAGCCAGAGACTTGGCGAGGGAGGGGCACAAGGCTCGCAAAGGGCCCCCCCCCCCCCCTCCCGATAGTAAAAACCAAACCATACATCACCGAATATGACCCTTTTGTTAATGCGGGCATGCTTTTTCACTCTAAGTTCTATAACTGGAATAGAAGCCAGAAGCTACCGCGATATCGATTCCGCCTGAAATTTGTAGGCAATCAACTGAAGAAAAATTATGCGTCAAACGACTGCATGAAATAAATTACCCGCGTTCTTCTTGTACAACGGTCCAGCGGACGCTTTGCTGAATCCATACAAGTCAGGAGTTTTGTCGGAATCTTTCTCTGGGGTCTGCGGAGATGTCAGGCCCATGCGAATTTAGATTGTAGATCGAAATCGGTCAACAATGCGCATTGACTTGGCCAAGCCATCTTTGTCTGGAAATGTTCAGCATCCAATCAAATTCGATTGATGATACAAATGATGTACGTAGTTTTGGGGCATGCACTCTCGCAAACCTTTCAAAAAACGGACTCCACACGTTGCAGTTTCCATAGGCAGCGCAGCATCGGCTCCGTGGCTAACACCGAGCCATGGCTAACGGATGGACGAAACTGGTGACACCTTTGACAGAAGTACATTTGAAAGCTAAAGACTTTAAAACGTAGATTTAGAGGGTAGCCCGTCGGAGATTTCACCCGTGCGGTTTTCAGATTGATAAATTTAACAGATTGGCCTTTGAAGCACCACTTCGTGGCGCTGCAATCTTGTCGCAGAACTGGAGGAGTGAAGGTAAAATCCCTATTTTTCGTGTTGCTGCAGCTGCTGATCTGCCCAGAGGACGGCTTCAAAGTTGTAGCAAAGATACGCCGCACCTAAGGTTTGAACAGCACGAATTAATTTAGGTAAGACATTCGGAAGTATTGCTCTACGACGGTCACTATCGCGCGCACGGCACCCGCCGCCTGGTGTTACTTGGAGTGGCCACCGTCATTCGGTTTTACGGAAATCGCAACCCAGGCTTTCGCTGCCCTTGATTCTGAGATTGCAGGCGCGTGTGCTCAAACCTTTTGATAGTTTGCTTCGCCAGTCCATTCTGCAAAAGAAGAAACGTTCTCAGGCGAACATGGGATGGTCTCATTCGATATCTTAACTCATTTCTACCTACTCTTTTGGAACACAAAAGAACCCCCACTGACGTAATAATATTCATGATCGCCACAGCTAATCAAATAATTGGCCCATAGACCCTTAGTTCGGCTTAACGGGCTCATGCCGGAGTTGGGTTGGAGAGCCCACCATTCGGTACCGGGGCCCTTCCTGGCACAGGACACTTCCATCGCCTAAACGTTAACAATCGTCATGAGCCGTCATGTGTTTTTTTCTATTGTCAGAGGGCCCCGACCAACGCAAGAGGCCGCTGTCATTCGCGATCCCGGCACCGTCCCTGTTCAGCACAACTTTTTCTGACAGACTCGAGGCCCCTTATTGACGCATAATACCTTATCCGGAACTATGAACCCCTGAATGGTACAGGAGCTCGGCATTGTTGTAAGGACCTCGACCAATGTAAATCGCGAGCCTGGCATTGTCCCTGCTTGGGAATTGGGCCGCCAGAGCTCAGACCGACACGGAGCCGACTGCTCGGTGTTGGTGACCTCTGACCGAAACAAAAGAATGCTCGTTTTCAGGGGTCCCCAGTCCGGGCAAGAGGCTCTCTAACTGATCTTTGAGATTACGGCCCTACGGGCAGGTACATGAGATGTTTGGACCATTATGTGGCGTGATACATTAGTGGGTACGAAAATTACGCGTTGCGATAATCCCCCGACTAAATCCATTCAGTGTGAGTCGGGTAAGAAAGTCAGACCGAGGTCAAACCCAAATTGTTCTTTTTACTGGGAGGCTTGCTTAAAGAGGTATAATTTTAACGCTCAATTCCACTTATTACCACAAGGACATCAATAAACATCCTATTTGGACTTCATAAAGGTCCGATAAAGTCGCTGACCTTAGATGGTGGCTATCAACTTTTGTTTTTAGGAACATACCGCCTAGCATAAACCTTGACGCTTACTTAATTCCAAAAATCAAAACAATGTCCCATGTTTTTAGCCACCGTGACCCTTTTGCAGGTCAAATGAGGTGACTGACCTGAAATGAAATCAGTGACCTGATTAGCACTTGGTATTCGGGTTATTACGTACAGGCCCTCCTATCCACCCTGCGAATTTGATACCTCTAGTTTTCTTAGCTTTTGAAGTCTCAGGTGGGTCAAATTGATCCCATACCCACTCCCGAAAGGGGGTAGGAGATCACCATTGACATCCCACCCCCGCCCAC